CAGTAGCTTTTTGTGGTTTCTAATGAAATTTTGAACAGTCGGGTGTTTTGTTGAGCGACGATAATTTTCAGAATTGTTGCCTACCCTTTTGTAACAGCCTTTAGTACCCAGTCATACCATACAGTCACTACTACCTTTTTCAGATAGAACTTTGAATGAGCTTTCCAGTGGTATATTTGACACCTGTCTAGCATAATTAGTTGATTTTTTATGATTTTTTAAAAAGTCGTATGTTTAGTATAACACTGCTAATTTTTCAAAGTGTTGCCTACTTTTTTGTAACAGCCTTTAATACCCAGTCTTGATATACAGTTACTACTACTTTTTCAGATAGAGCTTTGGATAAGCTTTCCAGTGGTGTATTTGACATCTGTCTAGCATAATTAGTTGATTGTTTTATGACTTACGAAAAAATGGCCTCAAACTGCAATTTTGTCATTGGTTTCTTCCCCTTACGCATTTTTGGCTAGCAGACCCCTTGGATATGATTATATCTCTCTTGTATTTAAGTTTTAACCCTTTTAAAAAATTGAGTAAAGTCTCAGTATGTATATCTTATGAGATTTGCATTTTGATAGCTATCCAGCCTTAAATGTTTATTTTATGTATCTTGGAAAATTGGGTTCCAAGCCATTGTCATCCATCTTTAAACTTCATTTTTATGTTTTCTTTCAGTTTTGAACTACCATAATCACTACAATAGCTACATGAATTACCTTTTAATTTCTTTTACGCTAAGTTTGTGTGTTTTTGTCTAAGAATATGTTAAACATTTTTGATTTTCAACACCGGTTTTCACGTATTGTGACCATGAAACAGACCCGCGAACACGTCACGATTTTTACAAATATTTGAAACATCATATCTCAGGTGTTTGTAGATGGATTTTGATAATTCTTTTTTCATAGTTCTTGTTTCCCTGAGCACTATGTGGAAAGTATAGTCTTGTTATGCTGGCCCTCCAGGAAATCGCGGTTGCGGCCGCGTTTTTTCGTCGAGTTCCGCAAGAAACCCGCAATTTTTTGCAATTTTCGCAATTTCTTGCAATTTTAGGCAAAAATCCATCAACGTTTTAATTTTAACAGAATTTTTAATACGAAATGGTGCAAGCACAGAGCCGATAGGCCTACGTAAATCATGGTATCGGCCCAGCTGAAGCCAACTATAACCGGAAATTCAGGCCAGAATGCATCATGTACAACACGAACTGAGACATAGGCTAGGCTGAGAATGTGTCCTTCTCTGGGTTAGGCTTTTATCTAGGCCTAATGTGTGTAAGCGTGCGCGTGTGATAAGAAGGTAGGTGTGTGCGTGTGTGAGGTGTACGTGAGTACGTGTGCGTGTGAGTGCGCACGCGTGAATATTGTTCGTACATGATGCACGCAGAGGCGAAGCGTCTATATAATCAAATAATCACAGCTTCCCTTCCTAATTTTTAAACATTGTCGCAGTCAAATTCACCCATAAACGTAAACTTCATAAATTAAATGTAAAAAGACGTTCATAATCAACAATGAACAGTATGCCTAACATTCTAAACGGTTTCATTGCCACAGAAATAGCCTGTTCATCCCTCTTGGGCCACTCCATAAGCAGTCACAAGCTTTGGTTAAGTAAGCTTAAAGTGAGACTGGAAGAGTCTACCAACAGAATTGAGTCTACCTCACAGATGTGAGGGGAACTAACTCCTAATAATCTCTCGACTGCTTCGAGTGCTTGTTTTTTTTTTTTCCTCGACTTTTTAGTGCCCTATAATCAGATCGTGACCTCGATTATGACACAGGCTCGTGGCCGCGAAAGGCTAGACAAAAAACAGCCAAATGTGAAATTTAAAAAATGATTATTGTCATGTTCTACCAAAGAGTTAGAGACTCCCTGGTAGATCTATAACATATAGATCTAGTACTGACATCTCTGCTTTGTGTTTGTGTATTCACATCTAAAGTTAAATTTAATTTTAATTGGAATTGATATTTAATGAGATACTTTCCCGATTATTTTGGCGGTTGAACATACAATAATGAATTCCGGATATGTTTTTATTCACAACTCTGAGTCACCGCCTCGAGCAAGGTTCTTGTGTGATATCCCCAGGCCATATCTGGTCCAGTTTCACTTTGATTACCCTGTCAAACAAGTCAGCCTTGGCCCCTGGATGCACGTGTCTACATACACGGTAACCGGGCACCTAGTCTCAATATCTACGTACACGGTAACCCACCGGAATGAAAATTAACCAATATTGGTCCTGTGCTGTCACTTGTTGAAATAAAAAAAAAGAAAGTTATACACGCGTCTTGTCGGGCTCGCCATCGTTACCGGTCAGTGAACCTATGCTCTCGCATCACATTGTGAGTACCGGTTGGGGTCATCAAAGTTCATTCAAAGTCTGTGCGCTACGAAGTATAGGGCTCCGGAATGGGAGAATTATTGATTTTAAAAAAATGTACAGTCAGAGGAGGGCTGGAGTTGAAGGTAACACCGGATGACAAAAACTGAACTTGGAATTCTTAACTGCCCGATTACCATGTGCGTGACTCTGAGACTACGTGCCCGGTTGCCGGTTAACGTGTACGTAGACACTGAGGCTAGGTGTCTGCGTACCGTGTACGTAAACATCCCGTTATGTAAAACGCCTTTAGCTGCGTGCACACGGGAGTGGGTGCTATAGAAATGATCTAGATCTACATTAGTACATGTACATGTTTTACTATTATTTATAAATGGGAAAAAATTGCTGTATTTTACGATTCGTGTTAAAACAATACCATGCCGGCTTTAAAACAGAAATTATCTGAAATAGATCTAAATACAGAATACCGGTGTATCGAAGGTTTCAGGAGAAAAATAGAACAGGATCTGATTTGATTGGAGCATAAGCTTATTTTGTATTTAGAGGTTGTTTCGAAAATCTCTCGTCAATGTTTTTGTTTTTTATAGACTAAACCTCATACTTCTAGATTTTTGCACGAAGTACCCGGTATGTACTAAATTTGGTCAAATTTTATGCCTTCATTTTAAAGTAATTACGAAAACCGAGAGTTCCGTCATTTTGTGTCACACGTTATCATATTATATTTGGTCGATAACTTTATTGTTAACGTACTCGTGTGTTGTTACTAGTAAATGTTGTTAATAACATTTGACGAATTTGTATTGTTTGTCATGATTTTTTTAAAAGGCTGAGCTGCTTTTATGCTACCGGTACTCAAAATTGTCATGTTTTTTTAAACTAAAAATGTTAAGCCCGTATTAATGCGCCTGGGATGGGAAAGTTGCAATTTTTAGGTTGTTTACCTTGCAATTTTTTGCAATTTTTCTATTTCAAAAATGCAATTTTCCGCGGGGCCAGGTTATGGTATTCTTTAAAAAAATTTCACTTGTGGTACATAATAATAGTTATTATCATAATAATAATAATAATAGTAATAATAATAATAATAATAATAGTAATAATAGTACCGGTAATAATAATATTATTGATAAAATGGTAATAAAATAATCAATAATAAAGGAAATTTTTAATAGCTCCTACTTCCTTGCAGGCTCTAAAAGCTGGACATAGCAAAATTTACCAGGCAAATCAAAAGACAGAAAATGAACGTTATGGGACTGTTAAGTTAACACACTCACACACACACACGTACACACACACACACAAACACAGATCTATACACATACTACAGACATAAACACACAAATAGATCAACCCACACAAATGTGAGGCAGCGCGGTGGAATCAGGCTCTTGCCAAAACAATCAAATTGAAGAAATGTGCATTTTTTCGCAGGTTCGTGAATTTTTATCAAATTTTTGGGGGGTTTTGACTCAACACCTTTCATGCCCATTAAAGAACTAATTTCAGTGTGGATTTTCCTGAAAAACATTGACTATACGCACAAAAAATGTAAATTTTCTGTTACCACGGACTGTTAAGCTAGAGAACTATCCTAATCTTTGGCGGCCATTTTCTCACTAATTTCACCTCCGAAAACAGGTGGCCCCGACATCCTTCTTTTGCAAATATCTCGACTTGTATTCAAGATCAATGGATATTTTTTCCCCATCCGAATAAAGACAAGTGAACAAGCTTAAAGATGATACCAATACCTCTGCATGCCCAAAAATTGACGAGAGCCTGATTCCACCACGCTGCCTCACAAATCTCTTTCCCTCTCCCTTTCTTTCTCTCTCTCCTTCTCTCTTCCTCGATCTCTCTCTCTCTCTCTCTCTCTCTCTCTCTCTCTCTCTCTCTCTCTCTCGCACACACACTCATACACACACAAAGCTCTCTCTCTCTCTCTCACACTCTCTCCCTATTTCTCTGTCTCTTTCTCTCTCTCTCTCTCTCTCTCTCTCTCTCTCTCTCTCTCTCTCTCTCTCTCTCTCAAACATTTATACACACACAAAGCTCTCTCTCTCACTCTCTCTCTCTCTCTCTCTCTCTCTCTGTGTCTCTTTCTCTCTCTCTCTCTCTCTCTCTCTCTTA